TCTCTTCAACAATAACCACCTTGGTGGTTCAGAAAACATTAATGCAATCAGCCCAACATCTCTTGCTGTTCCCACCTCCAACAAGGAATAGTTGAATATTTTCCAATATCAGGTTCTATTTAACTATATTAAATGATAGCCAGTAAATGTTACCACCTCAAATATGTTTACTGCACCTTGCAAAAAATACCTCAAGCAAGGATCCTAACTTGAGTGCATATATTGGACAATCATTTTCAGACTAAAAGTCACTGTAATTACAAAGAACAGGATGACGCGCCGAATGAGCCATTGTCATCTTATGACTTTTCTCATTGGTTTGAGAGAGACAAAACATCAAGCCTTGAATTATTTTAATTTTCTCTGACTCGCCTGCATTTCCTGAAGATATGCAGGGAAATGTTTACAGGAATTCTCCGTGTCTTGTTTGCATAGCTCATATCTGAAACCCAAATCAAATTATCTTTACAACAGAATAAGGGGATCAGAGATGACAGAACACTCTGTACTTCCCTTGCGTGCAGAAAATGAATACGTGAAGCGATACAGACAGAGGCAGGGAAGCCATGTCAACGAACACAGATTATCAAGATGATCCATTGAGATAAAATCATAAAAACAATAAAGATGTAAACAAAAGCATTTGAAGGAGAAAATATCCTTGGTTTCCTGATGCACTATGATCACCACGACGATGAAACCTGTGGTGCAACGATTGGAAAATATGTATTTATGTAAGCTATAGTTAGGACTTTGCTCGGTGCAAAATAATTCCAGTATCAGGCACTTGATGGATTCAGGTCAACATCCAAACTTTGCTTTTTCAGAAGACCCACCCTCTGCCTTTGGAGTTGATAGCAACATAAACCAAAGCTGGGTTGTAAAGCAGCAATCGGAGATGGGACATCCCATTCCGTGCAGGGTCACTTAAATTAAGCTGTCATAAAGGTTGACATGTGATATGGCAGCACAGTAGGAATAGAGATCTTCATTTCTTTGAAACCTACAGGAGGAACAAGAGAATCTACTTCAATGGCAATGCCTTGCACCCAGAAAGTGGCCAGCAGAATCTAGGAAAACATTAGAAAAGGCATGTCCCAAAGGTGCTTCTTCCAAGAAACTGGACTTTCTTGCTTTTTCTTTGAAAATGTTTCGCTTCTCATCCAAGAACTGAAAAACGTCATGGATGAGAAGTTTTCAAAGAAAAAAAAAACCAAGAAAGTCCCGTTGCCTTTTGGAAGAAGCACCTTTGGGACAACCACAACCTGGATGATGGGGAATCTCCATAGACATTGGAACAGGCATGTCTGTTCTCCAGAGAAGAAGGGTTGAAGGGCCCAAGGGGGTGAGAAACAAGGGGAACAGTGGAGAAATGAGGACATTCTAGATCAGAAGTCCCCAAACTCTTCAACTGATCAACCTCTTCAAGAAGTTGCAGGTTGTTCATCAACCCCCAAGCATTTATTATATGAAAATAATTTAATAGTACTGTTTTAACTATTAGTACTATGAACAATAAGAACAACACTGTCCCCTTAGACAGGCCCATGAACCCTTGGAGGTCAATATTGAACACTCTGGAAAACCTTGTTCTATTTACTGTTCCTTCTCTCCTTAGCACCATTTCTGAAAAGAGAAGATGTATCTCAAAAGGGAAAGGCTTTAACAGAATAACAAAGTTGGAAGGGACCTTGAAGGTCTTCTAGTCCAACCTCCTGCTCAAGCAGGAAACCCTATACTGTATCAGACAAATGGTTATCCCCCCCCAAAAATCCCCAGTTTTGGAACACCCACAACAGCTGAAGGCAAGTCATCCACTGATTAATTGTTCTAACTGTCAGGAAATTTCTCCTTAGTTCTAGGTTGCTTCTCTCCTTGATTAATTTCCATCCATTGCTTCTTGTCCTGCCCTCAGGTGCTTTGGAGGTTTACTCTCTCGCGACATAATATGCTACTCTATATTTTTATTTTATTTATTTATTTATTATTTATATTTATATCCCGCCCTTCTCCTTGCGGACTCAGGGCGGCTAACAACCAGATAAAAATACAAAATATCAAAACTACAGATTAAAACTTAATTAAAAGGCAAATATTAATAATTGGTCTAAAAAATTTAAAATTATTTTAAAACCCCCTCTAAAAATATAACTCTTTCAAAAAGTTTAACTTCCGGGGGTTGCGTGGATGAATTCATATGATTTCCATACAGAGGTGGTTTTCTATTGCCTTCATCCAGGATGATAACAAAATTGATTGATTGCTTCTGTTTCAAAGAGCTCAGACTGTCTCAAGTGCTGTGGAACAAGCTGATCTTAAAGCTGGCACTAATTTAACTAAAAAAAACCCAGACCACCTTGGACAACAGATCTCCACTGTCTGGGATGGAGTATTGGCTTTGCACAGTCCTAACAATTTGACTTGAGTTTGCTGGTTTCACTTAACGAGAATCGGGAGAGCATCTCGTTTCTCACAGATTCACAGTTGAGATTTCCTTCAGGGCTTACTCTAGGCTGGTTTAGTGGCCTCACATTGATTTCTGCAAGAGATGCTTAGAAGTGTAATTGATGCCCAGTAACTAAATCTATTGTTGTCTTTTCTTTCTGCTTTAAAAAAGCCTCTACGTTTCCAAACAGCAACTGGGTAGGAACAAAGGTGATTACCTAACAAAGCACTCGCATCTGTTTCCTTAAATGCAATGCTTGCGTTGCAGATACCAAGGGCATTTTATAGCCATCTTTCCTTGAGGCTCTGAAATCCAGTTTCTCCACGGTTTCGAAATGGGCCTTTGGCCTGAAAAAGTACAGCAATTCCCTTCTCAAGCAGTAATTTCCTGACAGTGAATTTTATCTGGGTAGTTCAATCCGGCGGTAATTAAATTGCAGTTAATGTTACATCTTTTACCTAGAAGGAAGTATGTTTCTTGCCCAATAATGTGATATTGCTGCCATAAAACTCCAGATAAGGGGCTGGATTTTGTTACCGTTAAATGCCTTGAGTTTGAGACAGCTTTTCTCCCTCTCTGCGTTTTAGTCTCAAGCTCAGGTGGGCCACCGTAAATTTCTCCTGAGCGCCATTGCAAACAAGTGAGAATACTGAAAACTGAACACTTTGGGGTAAGGAAGGACATCAGCAAGACGGCTTGCTGTCCCGTGAACGTTGACTCCACCTTGGAGGAAAGGTGTAGTAGTGGGGAGAGGCTGAGCAAGGAAATTATTTTCACAGTTTTGAATTGTCTTGAAGCTGGTAAAGTAAGTGGGTAAGTGTGACTCAGGTGAGCCTTCACTGGGTGTCTGGAGCCTCAAATAAGAGAGAGGGGAGCCAGGCACGCAGTCCTTGATTTATAACCACAATTGGGAGCAGAATTTATGTTGCTAAGGAAGCAGTAGATGGGCCGTGCTCGATTTTATGGGGGGTTTTTTTGTCACGGTGGCTAAGTGAATTATGTGGTTGTTAAGTGAATCTGGCTCTCCCCCCCCCCCCCCGGTTGACTTTGCTTGTTGAAAACCGGCTGGGCAGGTTGAACGTGGCAGGAAATTAAACAGCTTTTGAGAAATAATTTGCTTATTACAGTGCGGTTACCAAAACTTCTCATCCTTATCGCAGATGTTCCCAGGAGAAGAAATGTAACATGTTTCCTCCTCTGGGAAGACTTAATGTGTTGTTACCAACAATATGTCATAATTCTTTGTCAAGTCTGGATTTTCTTTAATGTGACCTTAGGTTTCTGGGAATAGAATAGAATAGAGCTGGAAG